ATGTAAACATATTCAAGGCCTGTATATAGGACTTTTTAAAAGGCAGTAGAGTCTTTAAGTGATGAGGGGAAAATTACAAACCTAAAGAGCAAGGTCAAGGCTACAATTCATTGTAGCAAAGTGTGTAAAGTTGAGAGGAATGATACCAAATTTAACAGTAGTATTGCTCAGTAACTGTGCCTTACGAGTGAAGACCAAAATAGCTGATGCCTTAAAGCCTCCTGCCCCTTGCTTCGAGGCCCTCCAACCAGCAGAAGCAGCATCTGAATTGTCTACCCTCAAACTTTTGTATTGGGGGCAGCACAGTGGTCAGCACTGCTGCCTCTCCGTGCCAGGAGACCCGGGTTTGATCCCAACTTTGGGTGGGTGTCCGTCTGTGAGGAATTTGATGTTCTCCCGGTGTCTGCGTGGATTTCCTCTGAATCTCCCAGTTTTCTTTGGTCTAAAGATTTGCAAGTTAGATGGATTGGCCAGGTTAAATGCGGGGTTTTGGGGATAGGAAGGGTTTGGGTGGGATGTTCTTCGGGGTTTGGTGTAGACTTGATGGGTCAAAGGGCCTCTATATCTGTATAGTAGGGATTCTATGATTCTTTGTATTCTGCTGATCTCCTTCTTCTTCTTCTAAACACCAGAGAGTGTAGTCCCTTTGTACACATCATCCCTCACAGGGCAGTCCTCAGATTTTTCAGTATTCAGTCTAATGACCCTCTCTCTCTTAGGTTCCACCACCCCTCCCCTGCCCACCCACCCTCCATGGCAACCATATTCCTCTTTGGTTAAACCGACCCAACCTATACTAATTCGTGAAGAGTCAGTATCCCTTCAAAGAGCATTATTAAATTGGATTTCTCTGACAACCAGACTGCTAATCAGCATTGTTGGATATGTACATCTTTGGGCAGGTCTTAAACTAGGATTCTGTCTGTCTATTCTGGAAATTTAGATGGGCATTAAAGATCATGTCGCACTATTGCGTGAAGAGTTCGGTGTTCAAATTAATGTTTCTCAATCAGTGCCAAAAAATCAAGACTTTTTTTGTTTTTTTTCTTGTTTTTATCTGCTGTTACTTGTGTGGATGGTTGGGCAGGAGGGCATGCTATCATCTGTAAATAAATGTGACCCTGATTATGAACATTGCACATCAGGGTGATTATTCGTATCTGAAATCTTTTGAGTCATTCATCTTGATAATTAAATTGAGATTTTTAATGTTTTTTAAAAAATGCCCTCTGATCACCTAGAAAATTTTACTTGAGGCCTAATAGTTTGTCATGTTTTTTTTTTTGGTGCTTTCAGATGAACTTGACACAGCAGCTGTGGAGCAAAACCTACAACTGCATTGTCCCCTGCAGTGATACTATTCCAGTCATTGCAGTGTCAACATTTCTTCTCTTTCTACCTGTCATCTTCTACCTCAGCAGCTTCCTTCACTCTGAGCAGAAGAAATGGAAGCTTATGGAGCGTGAGTACCTGTTCTAGTTGCACTTTTGGAATTAGATCAATAGATGAGAACGTTTTGATAACATTTAGCATTTGCTGGTAATTATCAAATGTTCAACTTTAACTAGAATATTTGACCAAGTTGAGTTCACAAGTTTTTTTTAAACATGATATCCTATCCGAGACAGGTGGTCATATATGGATTAGCCAATACAATTCCTATAAACTTTCACAAATAGAAAAAACATCTGATAATCTGGGATGAAGCTATTGGAAAGATGTACCCCTCTATAAGTTTTCTAAGACGGAGGTCAGGAACCTCAGTGATCCTTGCTTCAATGATAGAATTCTAATTCTAATGTAAATGAGGTACTGTTCCCTGTGGCATAGGGAGGCACCTTTTTTGAGGCAGCAGCAGAATGATAAATGAAATTGTAGCAGTTGATTACCAATCTGCCATTCACTCCACCTGCAGACCATTTTTATTTCTTTTAATTGTCCAATCACCACTTCCTTTTGGCCTTGTGCCATTAATTCTTTAGCCATTTAATCTCCTGTCTTCTGCCCACTTGCAGATTTTCCTCTAACTTTCCCTCCTTGCCATTTCACCTATTAATTTCTAACTTCTCAGTTCTGATGAAAGGACATTGACTTGAAATGTTAACACTGTTTCGGTCTCCATAGATACTTTTTTTATTACAATGATCTATGTTAAATGCCAGACACAATGAACAGATGGCATCCTTTGTTGGAGCTGCGGGTAAATTGCTAGCAGACTGTCCTCAGCTAAGAAATTAAAGCAGTCAGATATTGTTGCCAGTAACATGAAATCTATTCGAATATAAAGATCAGATTGTACAGGATCACCCCAACATTGTGAATTGATGCAGACAAACTAATGTTAAGATTCCAGCTGGTGGTGCTTACTGGACTAGTCTGATTCCAGATAAAAGCTGGCCGTTGGGTCTTTCTACTTGGGATAACATTGTGGTCACTCATTGAAACCTAGTCTCAGAAACTGCTGAGTTTCTTTACAGTAATTCATTACACAAAAGATGATTTAACAATGTATTTAGATATTGCATGAAGAGGGGAAAAGGAATGAAAACAAAACAAAGTTTCAAACAATTTCCCAACACTGTCCCCTTTTTTTCAACAACTTTAAATCCAGAGAAATTACCAGTATTACCTTAAGTTTGACATAGTTGATTCTCCACAGTTCTTTGTGAAAGCTTAGACTTTCTCAGCTTTTAAATAACCTGCAGACGTTTAACCAAGTCTGGAAGTCTCTCTCACCATTCTTTTTAAATTGAAGTAATTGTGCTTTCCTTGAACTGTCTTGTACTTTTCAGGAGATAAACTTTTATTTGCTTTTGATTCCAGTTAGACCACCTCTGAATTGCCCCAAAACTTTTAATCTCTTGGCTTTCTAAACTAAAATTAGTCCTCTATTATCCTGAATTAGAAGCAAGCTAATGGACCCCCACCTGTTACAAATCTTTGCAGTAAAAATACTCTACCATTAACACCCAAGGGGTGTCCCCGCTTCCCAATACTTACTGGATTAAGGCCGTTGTTTCAGAAAGCATATCTGACCTAGATGTATTTTTTCCTTTTAAAAAGCACTTCACTAAAGTAACGGATCCCATACGTCACTTTTAAAGTCCAAATTCTCAAATTGATCTTTCATTGACTTCCACCATACAACCAAAAGTGAGAAGTGTTCTATGCTGCACTACCATTATATCCAGCAGAGTGCAAAATCTTGAAAATTGTCTTGGTCTTACAAATTAAGGTCAGACCTTTTTTATTTGTGCTATTGTCAGAGTATAAAATGCTAATATTTCTTGACAGGATATGCAATCTGGTTAGGCACTCTAGATCTGAGATCATTCATCTCCGAACAAGAAGTTGACCATTTAGGACTGAAGGAGGGAAATTGCTTTGCTCAGGCCTAAGACCCTTTGGAATTCTCTACCCCAGAAAACTTAACTCTCGTTTCTTGAATATAGTCAAGGCTGAGATTGAGAGATTTTGGGGCACTAAGAAAATCAGAATAGAACTACAGGATGGGAAAGTAAATGTTCAGCCATGATCTGATTAAATGGTAGGACAGGCTGAAGTGGACACATGGCCTGGTCCTTGTTCCTAATTAAAATAATGCTACTTTTTATTCACCTTGTAGCTAAACGTTTGAAGCCTTGCAGCAGCACAGCACATATTGAAGACAGATCTTCCTGAAATTCTGCCAATACAGCTTTTTCTTTTAAAAAAGGACCAAATCTTTGTGGTGCAGAAATAATAAAATCGTGAGGAAATGTTGTAGCAATATGTATAAGGTCTTTGGACAATGCATCCTTTGCATTTGTAATTTAAACACTTACTAGTGTTTAAGTAGTTATCTTTTGAAAACTTGCACATTGGAAATGCTGTCAAAGCCACATGAAGACTGCTAAAGATACTCACTTATCTCGTTCATTTTTGTTGCCTCTGCCTTAAGTTTAATACTGTAACTGAGGAAAAATGTAAAGTTTAAATCTGGTTTTATTGAAGTGCCCTAAGTTAGGATAGATCTCAGCTTTTTGAAATTGAACATTCAACTCTGATGTTTACATGTTGAGATAATAAGTTAAGCATTGAGAGAATTCTAAGCATTTAAATCTAATAAGCTAGTTAGATTGTTTTGACTAATTCTAAAACACAGTTGAATTAAAACATACTGGATGTTGTCCGTAGGGAAGATGCACCTTTTCCTGGTTTGATAGGTTTATATTTTAACCCAGCTGATTATAAATGATGTACTATTTTTTTTTTTTTCGAAATGTGGTAGCACTGTAGTTAGTTGCCTGTAACATTAATTTTAGTTTGGAATTTAGCTTGCTGATTTTTTTTTTATTTGATACTTTGTAATTTAAAAATAGGGGTCAGGCAGTTGAGTGCAAATAGAATGATTAAAGTAGATTCAGAAAAAATTTAGATTTGAAACCAAGTAATAGAACAGATGCTGAAACAAATTAGGAGTACCTTTGGCATTTGTGACAAGATGCCCTTGACGTGCAGAATAATAAATCCATGCCACGGATGTGCAGTTAATGATAGCTATAAAATCTGGGATGGTAAAACAGTTGAATGCTGCGATACAAAGTTTGGATTATGTCTGGAAGGGTGCAGTGTGAATATTTTCAGATGGTTTTCCTTATCTGTATTTACCTTTTGTGTTCTTGCAATCGGTGCTTGTCTGAATTTTTAAAATGGTAAATAGACCTATTGTGAGCTTGCATTGAGTATGCATTATGTTTCTTTGTTTCTGTTTACTATGAGAGATTTTTGGATCAATCACTTTAAGCAAGAATGAAGCATTCCATTATGTTCACCTACTGACTTGTGAATGATGTGAAGTTTGTGCATTTTCCTCCCTGTTTTTTTAAGTAATCCTTCAGTTTTTTTCAAACTTAAATGGATTGAAACAATGCAGTAAGTTGTCTTTGTTTTAAATTAAATTGTTTGTACACTGTCATTCAAGTGTGGCCTTTTATATATCTTTCACTTTTTTTTTCTTTGAATGCTAAATACATAGATTTCGGCTATCTTCACAAAACTGACTGCAATGATTAAATGGGGAGGGAGGTGTGAAGGAGAAGTATGGGAATATTGGAGAGCAGCATTTCCTGTCAGGTTCTGATTAAACATGGTGTTCATTTCTAAATGTTTGAATTTTATTTTACAAATTGAAACACCAAAAGAAGGCTGTTCATTCTACCAACTTGTGTTGGTAATGTCAGCCCTTGAACCAGAGTTGCCAATACCAAGATACAACATATTAGTTTGTGTGAATTCATAAATCCCATTAATAAAGCTGAAACCTGGATTACATTCTAATTTGGAAATATTAGACATTCAAATGTATATCCTTGCTTTATAAACTGATCATGTAGATGTATCACAGAAGGTGTAGTCTTAACACTTGCATAAACAGGTTTTATATAGGATTTGTTTATGTCTTTCACATGAATACAAAGTTGAGTATGATTTGCAATATAATCTGTTGAAATATCATTCAAGACTTATTTCATTTATTTAATACTCTAAAGGATATTCGGGTACACAGTGAACTCAAATACCTTTGGACATGTGATCCAGCTGGTTTCTATTCCTATAAAGACCCTGAGAATTGTAAAGCTGCCAGAACTTTTTCTCCCTTCCTCAATTTTAATTTCCCCACAGGCGTGGCTAATGAAATAGTCGTCACTTCTGCATGTAGCATTAGGTGATGGCAGTCAGAACTCCCAGGCATGACATTTTGTACGTGTGCATTTTTTTATTGTATAATAAGTGTAGTTGCAGCAATTCTCGTCTTTTCTGAAGGATGGGTTTATTTGCAAAATCAAAAAAAAAAGCTAAGTGGATTATATGACAGGCATGGATTCTTGCTTGGCAATGCCCCAATATGTGCATCAGCAGAAAGTGTTGAGAGTTGTTAGCACTCCTTTGTTAGAATGATAACTCCAAGAGTTTGGAGAAAGTCCAGCAATGCTTCATTGGGGTAAATATGACTTAACAAGTTTACTAGGTGTTTCGTTATGGTTATATTTCCGAGTGATAATGAATGATTTGGTTGAGATCTATAAAATAAACAATAGATTTGGTGTGCTATATGGAAATCTCTCAAGTAATACAAATAAACAATTAGGCATAATCTTGAAATAACAACTAAAATTGTTCCACTGTTTGGGAAATGGACTCCCAACTGCCATATGTAAAACTAAATAAGATGTTTGCTGGGGGAATGCTTGCTTAATAAAACTTAGAAAGGGATTTAAGGATAGTAATAATTGTTCTGTCAGCCAAGTAGCCTATTAGTACTACATACAGTAAAGTCCAGCTGTTTGCAGAGGACACTGCAGTTGGTGATTTGCACAAACACAGTAAATGTAGCAGTCTGAAGTATTTGATGTGTGCACACTTGCTCTGCAGAGTAAACCTTTTTTGTTTTGGAAAAACCAAAAGCAGATGAGAGAACATTACATCTTTCGCTGACTGTGAATTTAAACTAAGTATTGCCCAGATATGTGAGATTGTGAAGGGCAGACACACGAACAGTGGAACTTTATTTGAATTAACTTTAGCAAAGGATTCCATTTTTTAAAAAAAACAGAACTTCTTTTCTTGTTGTGTCGAACAGATCAGTGAAATCTGCTTATTCTGATGTACTGTACCTAAAGGCCATTTCCTGGATCTGACTTATTTCGCTTCTGCTTGTGCTTCAGTCCTGAGGTGCCCATGACTTAAAACTGCTTCTCCTCTTTACGTGTAATCAATTGTCCTGTACCCACTTCTATTGCTCGTACCCATCATCTGGTACCATTTTTAAAACAATGTTTTTAAATACCTCGCCCTACTTCTGAGCCAGGATGCCTAGGAACAAGTCCCACCTGCTCCAGAAGTGTATAATAACATCTCTGAACAGGTTTTTTTTTAATAAAATCTAAGTGCCTTCATTTTTATGCCTATTAGATTTTGGTTTATAGTTGTGCTTGATTGTGTTCTGCTAAAACAACCATCCTCCTCTTTCAGCAGCATGTTAATGGTTAACAAAACGACCACAAGATGTAGGAGCAGAAGCAGGCCATTCAGTGAGATAAAGGCTAATCTGAAACCTCAACTCCACTTTCCTGCCTTTTCTGCATTACTCTAGATTCCTTTACTGACTAAAAATGTACATTCATATTCCCTCTTCCCTCCTTAATCAGTTTCTTGGACTTGCTTTGCTTGATTCTAAATTGCTAATTATCAGAATATCGCCCACATTTGGTCACCTGTGCATGCCTCCATAATTGCAAACATAATGTACCCATGTACATTTGCACTGTTAACTTGTCCACCTTTTATTGAAATGTTCAGTGTACTCCAATATAGTACATTTTTAGATTTTGACATTTTATTGTGCTCCAGCTGTACTTGTACTTGTTGCTAGCTCTTATTTCCTCTGCTTGTTGCTTTTGCTTTCTACTTTTCTATTTTTCATTTTTTGATTCAATCACTGCTCTCCCCACTCAAGTTCCTGCCCTCCTGCCACACTAGTTTAAACCCTCCTCCTGACTGTGTGTACTATCAACCACGCTGGTAGGGATATTGATCCTGGTCCTGATGTGATGCACAGGATCACATTTTCTTGCTATCGAGCACAAAGAGGGGTTGAACATAGGATAGTCATACTGGCTATTTTTAGTCCTAAAACCTCAATTGCTTATCTAATATTCCCTGGTCTGCAATATGTTGATGGTACTGTTCCACACCAGTGTGGTTGAACCTTAACTGTTCTATGCTGTGTGCTAGCAAACAAATTGGATCAGTCTGCTGCTTTGGTTGTCTTGGCATTGCATCCTGCCAATGCTTGTGGTTAGTGCCAATTGAGCCATGCATAGCTGTCGATCTGGTACCATGATCCCCGATCTTGTGAAGAGAAACTATCTTAAAAACAGGTCTTGAAGCTCTCAAGAAAGCAATGGGGCTGTGACTACTTCCTTTGACAGTTTGTTGCAATGTGACTTTTCCTTGGAAAATGTTATGCCTACTCATCACTTCAATGATTTAGAATGTGAAACTGGTGAAAGGTTACAAATGATTCATTTAACAATCCGAGTCTAAATACAAGCACTCAAGCCTGTCCGGTACACAACCTGTCAAGATGTGAGGTGATCAGTCTGGGCTGTTAGAATTTTGTTGTTCCGAGTCTTTGACTTGATCATGCTTCGAGCTGTGAGGAGGGGGGTGGTTTTGCTTTCTTCTGAGACCCTGACTCCACTTTTCCTCTGGTTGTGGGGAGCTGGGCGTTCTTGCTGTCTTCAAGACTCTCTCTAAGTCAGAGTCTTCTACTTGTGGGGTCTTGCTGCATCCAGTAAGCCAGGGTCATCCCGTGGCTGTGAGGGTTTCTCTGAGACGTGGCATTGTCCTTCTCTCAAGTGTTGGTCCTAGGTTCCACTATGTGCACTGCTCCATGCAGCTTAAGTGGAACATTTGGCACTAGGTACTTGTTTCTGCCCATTCCAACTGGCCTATTCAATATTTTACAGAAACGTTTTCTTGAAGGGAGAAAAGTAGATTAAGCTTCAACACACTTTTGCAAAGTGCCATAAATATCTTGCTAGCAAAGTCCATAATCCTACAACTAACCTAACAACACTTAATGTATTGATCTGAAATATCTCAAATAATTTAACCTCTACTATAATAGCAAAGGAAATAAATACACCAAAATGAGAAGGATATCTGTTATGGTGAAGCAGAATGTCTGGGAACTAGCTGGTCTGAAGTTCAGTTCCCAGTATGTATAGAGTTAACAGCTTTTTGGGCCATTTGCAAGGGAAAATTGGGCCCTGGCACTTTCCTGCCAATCCCAACATTCACCAATCAGTTGTTAATCTTGCTTCCTTTCAATAATACAGTCAAGCTCCTAGCACAGTTAATATTAAGTTAATTATGTTGCATGAGGCTGTCACATTAAATCAGTTTACAGTGTCACATTAATTTTTTGAGTAATTTTTCCACTTAGTATTGAGTACCTGTATCCTATCAAAGCACTTTCATGTAAATTTAAAAAGGTTTGACAGGTGGGAACATTGCCCAGCAAGCACGTTAAGAATTATTCCTTCTGATAATTGTCTTATTCTTCTAATACTAACTGTTCTGGAATTACCTTGGAGCAAGAACATTGCTGTTACTGGGCAAAGGTCAAAACGAAAAACTATTCCAATTTTATTTTTGAAATCAATTTAAAGGTAATTTGTAATTCAGCGGTTTGAAAATAATATATACAGTTTAGGGATTATGCATTTTATAGGTCTTTACAAAGGTAGGCTACTTGAGTCTGCTGCACCATTCAATTAGATCTATACCACAACTTTATCTTCCATCTTAGTGCTATATCCTTGCAAAATATTTCCTAATTTTGGAAGTGACTGGATCGGACCTCTCATTCTTTTACATTGACTGAATACATTTAGTCTTCCAAGAACAAAATGAATGGACTTGACGTGAATGACTCCTTTTGACCTATGCATGGCATTAAAAGCATTTCTTAAATTGTTAATTGTGAGAAGTGTACTGCAGATTACTGTTGATATTAACTACATTATCTGAAGTGATGGTTATGCAACATACAACACAATGGAAACTTATTGCATCGACTTCAGTATTTACAAGTACACACACAAATAACCTGATGTTTACAATGTCTTAGCATACAACCCGTGCACCCAACAAAAATATGCTGACCTCAACCTACTTCATGACAGAATTACCAGGATCTGTCATCAATTTTTCTTTGGAGTTGTTTTGTTGTTTGAACTTTTCTTTCAAGTCACATGAATATGTTCTTCAGGCTTAGCAAGTATTAAGCAAGGAAAGCTGCTTTCTTCACTTATAAATGTAATGTAATGACTTTCAGACCTACTTAACATGAATGTGTTCAAAAAGCAACTGCTTACTGTATCAAAGCTGTCATTCTTAAACCCACCA